TGAACAAGGTTAAGTTTTGGTGGTCAAGTCCATATCTCAGATACTATAAGCAATAGGTCTAGTATATTCGGTGTATGGAAGGACTGTAAGGTGTACATGTCCAACTGGCAGGTGTCATCTGACCTTGACCTCATTTTCATGGTTCAGTGGTTATAGTTAAGTTTTTGTGTTTTGGTCTGTTTTTCTTATACTGTATGCCATAGGTCTACTATATTTGGTGTACGGAATGATTGTAAGGTGTACATGTCTAGCGGGCAGGTGTCATCTGACCTTGACCTCATTTTCATGGTTCAGTGGTCAAAGTTAAGTTTTTTGAGTTTTGGTCTTTTTTTCTAATACTATATGCAATAGTTCAACTATATTTGGTGCATGGAAATATTTTATGATCTATTTGTCAGTCACGCAGGATTTATTTGACCTTGACCTCATTTTCAAGGTTCATTGCTCAGTGTTAAGTTTTTGTGCTTTGGTCTGTTTTTCTTAATCTATAAGCAATAGGTCAACTGTATTTGGTGTATGGAAGGACTGTAAGGTGTACATGTCCAACTGGCAGGTGTCATCTGACCTTGACCTCATTTTCATGGTTCAGTGGTTATAGTTAAGTTTTTGTGTTTTGGTCTGTTTTTCTTATACTGTATGCCATAGGTCTACTATATTTGGTGTACGGAATGATTGTAAGGTGTACATGTCTAGCGGGCAGGTGTCATCTGACCTTGACCTCATTTTCATGGTTCAGTGGTCAAAGTTAAGTTTTTTGAGTTTTAGTCTTTTTTTCTAATACTATATGCAATAGTTCAACTATATTTGGTGCATGGAAATATTTTATGATCTATTTGTCAGTCACGCAGGTTTTATTTGACCTTGACCTCATTTTCAAGATTCATTGCTCAGTGTTAAGTTTTTGTGCTTTGGTCTGTTTTTCTTAATCTATAAGCAATAGGTCAACTATATTTGTTGTATGGAAGAATTGTTAGCTGTACATGCCTGCCCAGCATGGTTCATCTGACCTTGACCTCATTTTCATGGTTCATTGGTCAATGTTTAGTTTACTTGGTTAATGTTAAGTTTATGTGACAGTTGTAATAAAGCTTTATATTTAGGACTATCAACATAATATCAATGATTAGTAAAGAAGGCGAGACATTTCAGCGTGTGCACTCTTGTCTTGTTAATGGACAATTACTTAAGTCAATTTAAAAGCAGTGTAAGGGAGGTAATCCAAACAACGTTTCGATTACCTCCGTTACACTGCTTTTAAAGTATGTATAAAGAAATATCGTATTGTCTTGAGATGATTAGCTGTCAATTTATTTTTAGAAGTTACTATTAAGGAATATTAATTTTAGCCATGATTATGTATGTCATTTTCTATTTTAAGACTTTTATGATGTATTTAAATGGGTAACTATGGTTGCAAACTCCATTGGAAATTTGAATTGAGATTATGACCATATCTTGAGGGAAAGAATTTTTTTGGGGGGAGGTGAAAAAAAAATTGGGGGGGGGGGGGGGTCAATTTTTTCTCATTTCAGATTTCAGAAATTATAAAGAAAAATTCTTCAAACATTATTTTTTTTTGTGTGGATGGAGGGGGGTCAATTCGCAACAGCAAAGTGTATTGCACAAAAGCAAAAAATTGAATATAAATTCAAATCATATAACCAATTCTAAGTTCTTTGACTACAGTTATTCTGTGTCAGAAACCTATTATGTGTCAAATATTTAATTACAATCCAATATTCAGACCTGTATCAAGCGCGAATATTGTGTCCATTTTTGCCCCAACTGTTCAGGGTTGGACCTCTGCGGTTGTATCCAGCTGCCCTCGGCGAAGCAATTTATTCAAATTCTAAAATAAATATTTCTGATAGGCAACCACTGTTCTAATTGCTTTAGAAACCTATTTTCAGTAAATAGCAAAAATGTGGAGAATTGATTTTGGATCCTGAATGCTCTTCAACTTTATACTTTATTTGGCCTTTTTAAACTTTTTTAGATTCAAGTGTCACTGGTGAGTCTTTTGTAGACAAAACGTGCGTCTGAATCCTAGTATCTGTGATGAGTTTTTTAGACTAACTACGTCAATTCTCTTTTGCTTTCTAAGCTATGGTTTATAGTCACTAGTGCCAATTAAATGATGCATATATGCATTGATATGAAACACAAGAATTATGAGTACAGAGTAAAAGACTTTTGTTGCAGAAAGCTCGACATAGGGATAGTGATCTGGCGGCGGCGTTAACTAACTTCTTAAAAGCTCAATATTTCAGAAGGTAGAAGACCTGGATGCTTCATACTTTGTATATAGATGCCTTATGATATGAACTTTCTGTCTGTCATATGTCCATTGTCCTTGACCTCATTTTCATGGTTCAGTGACTACTTGAAAAAAAAGTTAAGATTTTTTGTAATGTTAATTTCTCTCTTATTATGAGTACCGTAATAGGATAACTATATTTGGTATGTGCATACCTTGCAAGGTCCTCATGCCAGTCAGACAGTCTTCACTTGACCTCAACCTCATTTCATGGATCAGTGAACCAGGTTAAGTTTTCGTGGTCAAGTCCATATCTCAGATACTATAAGCAATAGGTCTACTATATTTTGTGTATGTAATGATTGTAAGGTGTACATGTCCAATTTGCAGGTGTCATCTGACTTTGACCTCATTTTCATGGTTCTGTGGTCATAATTTAGTTTTTGTGTTTTGTTCTGTTTTTCTAATACTGTATGCAATAGGTCAACTATATTTGGTGTATGGAAATATTTTACGATGTACATGTCAGTCTGGCAGGTTTTATTTGACCTTGACCTCATTTTCACAGTTCATTGCTCAATGTTAAGTTTTTGTGTTTTGGTCTGTTTTTCTAATACTATATGCAGTAGGTCAACTATATTTGGTGTATTGAAATATTTTAGGATGTACATGTCAGTCTGGCATGTTATATTTGACCTTGACCTCATTTTTACGGTTCATTGCTCAATGTTCAGTTTTTATATGCCCGTTTACGGGCCGTATTATGGTATACTGTTGTCCGTCAGTCAGTCCGTCCCATGAATATTTTCGTCGCATTTTTCTCAGGAACTACTTGACAAGGATTTCTGAAATTTGGTTTCAGGGTTTATATAAGTAAGTTACACTGTGTGATGCGTTTTCAGATTCATCACTCAACAACTTCCTGTTTACCGAACACTTGTATTATTTTACACATGATAGCCAAGTTGAAAATTTTCGTCACATTTTTCTCAGGAACTACTTGACAAGGATTTCTGAAATTTGGTTTCAGGGTTTATATAAGTCAGCTATACTGTGTGATGCGTTTTCAGATTCATCACTCAACAACTTCCTGTTAACCGAAATATTTTGGTGGGGGTATCATCAGTGAGCAGTAGCTCACAGTTTTACTTATTTGTCCTCTAACAAGGGCAATTTCCCTTTCACTGTGTGTGGGATATTTGACACAATACTTGCACGACATTAAACCAGTTGCCTTATTGAAATCCAGCCAGGAGCAATTCACCTTCCATTGGGGCAAAAATTAATGTTCTCTCATTTCACTGTCATATTTTTGGTCTTTAGTCAGATCCTGTCTTTTGGGCTGCATTTTATCAGTCAACCCCACTGTATCACCTGATCAAAAGGTTTTCTTTTGGAAGAAGTCACCCCAAAATGAAAAAGACTCATACTGTTTCTGCCTGGTTATGTTTGAATGATATATTCTAGAGTTTCCCGGTATCTTGTACGATGACCAGTCACGTGACTACACATCAAATCAGTTGTGAAGAATTTAAGCAAACACATAAGTTTCCTATCAGTAAAATTACAATCAACTAGATTTATAGATTTTATTCAAAATGCTTTTGTAATTTTTTTAAGCTGCAAAATACAAGTCAGATGGTTGTCGCTTACTTAAAGCGGGGGGGTCTGAACATGAAAATGGAAGGTCACAAACATCGGACCACAGCTAATTTGAATCCTTTTTTCATGTTGCCTAGTTGCCAATACATGGCATTAAATATCTATGATTGAACCATTTTGTTACTCTTACTGCATTAAAACATCACTACAATAGTAGGAAATTCAGAACTCATCTCACAGTTTTATTTTTTTTGCAACTGCATTTCTTAATACATATTAATAAGCAAATCTTTAAAAAAAAAAAATAGTTTTCAATCACTAAAAAAGTTATTGGTTCACTCTAATAAGACTTTTGTAAGGCATATCCAATCAAAATAAACTATAAGAGAAAAGCATTGGATGATCCATATGCTTATTTAGGTTTTTGTTGCATTTAAAGTTGCCACAAAGTATTAAGCGTAGTGAAATCTATTTTGTTTACATTTTGACAGCTGCAATTTAACTATGGTATAAGCTTGTAAAAACCATTTGTTGATTGTGGACTCAAAAGTTTTCTGACAATCAAATTTGAACAACACAGTTTTTTTCAATTTTTTGTATAAAATTGTTTGAGATTTAATACATGCCAATGGCAAATATTTTTAGTGAAAATCTGAAATTATTGCGATTTTTGAAGAATGGACAAAGTGTGTGTAAAATACTGTTAATTCAGAAATTATAGCGAGGTTTTCATTAATGCGAAAAATGCCTTTGGGTGAGAATGGCAATAACAAGAATTTGCATTCTAAAATCCAATACATATATCTTTATGCCGCTTTTCCTGAAATTGCAATAATTTATCTTGCAATTTTGTCCATTCTTCAAAAATCACTATGATATTGTCATATGAAATTGTCAATCCTCATGGAGTTTTGAATAGGTCAAAGTTATAATGACCCTTATTGCTTTTAAAGGCCAGAGGATAGTATTGGGTCTTCATCAGCTTAGAATAATACTAGAAAACAGCAGCTGGAAACTACGAAATGTACTGCTTTGCAGACACATATATATAAAGCATGTGCAAATTGTCTTACACTAAACATTTAGGCTATTTTTGAATACAGCATTTTTGATTTTTGAAAGAAAAAAATTCTTTTCACAGAAACATTCTTCACAAATCCCCAATACAGGGTATCAGTTACTGACCCAGATGAGGATGAGGATGACCTTTGTACTATACTGGTTGGTGTATTGCAGAAAGACAGAAGAAAGAAAAGAAAAGAGGGACTTGATATGTTGACTATTGGATACGTAATCTACAAGGTAAAGAATAAAAGAATATCAAAATTTGTTTGGCTCACCTGCCTTAAATACATTTGCCAGCATCATCCGTCATCATGGAATTAAAAAAAAATCTTTCCCCTGAGTGATGAATTTTACCCATTTTTGCCTTTTTTGTCAAATACTCTACAGGATAGATAGAAAAAGTTTTAAACACAAACACTATCAGCAAAATAAGATCTACTATTATTTATTCTCTTAAATGTGGATTTTTTTCACTTACTCCTATAGTTTTGCCAATTATTTCGAAAACATGAAATAGATAAGTATAAACTGCAAACAATAAAAATGATCATCAATACAAGATCTACAAAAATGCTACTATCTAAGATTTATAAAAAAGCAAACATAACTGATTGTAATAAAAAGTAAAATAAATGTCAAGATGGCATATTTTTACCAGGTTAGCTATTCAGGGTCAGACTTCACGAAAACTTTCGGACCTGTCCTGACCGCCAAAATTTATCCAGGTCCGCCTATTTCACCGTTGAGCCGGTCCGATTGTCCGACAGTTTTGTACAGACGAAAAGGGTTATGATGGTTTGTTCCTTCAACATTTGGTAATTTGTCCACCATTGGACACTGTTATCCTGTTTTATATTTTAGTTATTGTGGTCAGAAATCAGTTGAAGTAATTACAATGGCAGAGTGGCAGGTTACGTTTGTCCTATGCAAGTGTGTAGGCATTGAAAATGAAAGCTGCGAAAAAGTTAAAGGATTTGAACATTTATAAGGTCAAGAACAATCGTGTGTTCATGATTTCTTGACCAACCAAATAGTATGGCTCCAACCATAGTGTTTTGTGAGGATTTCTTCAAAAATATTTCGGCAACTAATCATTTGTTGTAACCGCTAGCTTGTTCAGTCAAAATTCTTTACAGAATCAATTAAAAGCATGTTCATATTGTTCATTGACAAATATTGCAAATGGTGAACATTAATATAAAACCAGAACCAGACTCTGTGAATACATGATTTTTTCCATAATGAAACTTTATTTTTCAGATTTCCCTAAAAGTATATTAAAATTCTGTTCTACAGACCTGATGATGTTTAAAAATGAAACCCTAACCCTTAACATACGTATTTTATGTCTCAAAAATGACTTTTGTGTAGAATCATGTTAATTTCATTTTCTTATGTTTTCCACCATAATTTTTGGAAGTACAAGTATTTTATTGGCTATTTCACATATTTAAGATAAATTTGATTGTGCAGTTTTACCTACATGGCGAACAGCGACATTGCCAACAGCAAAGGCATGTCTAGTAAGCGCTCCACTCTGTCCATCATTCCTTCTGTTCATCTGTTTGTTGGTCCATCTGTCCTTATGTCAAAACTAAGACAAAAACTCAAATTTGCTTTAAACAATTCTCATTAAATTTTAACACAACATTAGGACTGACAGAAGAAAGCTCCCTTTTGATGTTGTGTTCATTTTTATGCCCTCGTCGTAGCGTTGGGGGCATTAAGTTTTACCCTTGTCTGTCTGTACGTACGTCCTTACGTCCCAAATTTGGTTTCTGTTCTCTAACTTTAATTTGCCTCAACCAAATGTTTTGAAACTTATTTATACACAATGCTTATTACCACAAAACAAAGATCAAATTTTAATTTTGGTGGCGTCACTTTTACCGTTTTAGAGTTATGCCCCTTTACAAATGGAAAAATTCCTGAAATATTTGTTTCCTTTCTCTAACTTTAGTTTGCCTCAACCAAATGTTATGAAACTTATGCACAATGCTTATTACCACAAAACTCAGATCAAGTACAAATTTGGGTAGCGTCACTTTTACAGTTCTTGAGTTATATCCCTTTATAACGTTATATGCAAGCGGGGGCATCATCTGTGTCCCATGGACACATTTCCCATTCATTTGGTTTGTCATTCCAGTGTTACGAGACTAACTATCAGATTTAAGACAATTTTTCACGTGTAGTACACCAAATTTTAATAGTATGCTTGGATATGTCTACTTGAAACTTTTCGCATTTGTTGGAATTGGTAAAAGTAAGAACCTTTTGATTCTGAAAATTTTTCGTTCTAAAATTATAGAACTCTTAACTAAATAAATTCATGGCGAAGTCAAATCGCTATGAAAATTGGTAAAAGGGAGACAACTTTTGAATTACAAGTCTCCCAGGTAAAAAAAATGGCGACTGACAAGGAAAATCGAGATTTTCGAAACAACCCAGGACTAATACTGTCGACGATCAAATTAAATAAGTACAACGTCGACTTTGAGCATCCTCGGATATAACATTCAAAACTATTCAAACGGAAAACTGATCGTCTGTTAAAGTTATCATTTTACGATGATTTTTATCTGAGGATGTTGCGTAATCACTCAACTGATTTGTTTTATTTTTATTTATTACGAGTTGATCAAATTGTACTATTCGGTAGGTTAAGGGTAACGGTAGATTTATTATATTCATTGAATAAAAATTGAAGTATAAAAGGTAGAAAGACAGCTGATGGATAATGTAATTGCAAACGTACAACACTCGACCAGCTGTGATCAGCAGTGGATTTTTTTTTTCACGACCATTTCGTTGATAGGGAAGATATCTTTAAAAAATGATAGAAATTAGCTCTTTGTCGACTTATTAATATGTGATAGACAGATATTTCCATTTATAGGCTTACAATCTTTAACGAGAATCTCAATTTACAACTGCATGTAACATGATGTCCTGGACATTCAATAATGTTTTACAAAATAATGACAAGTGGTGATATAAACTAAATTCCCATTCATGTCATCAGGTAAACTTGGAGCCATATTTTTCTGGACATTTAAAAATAAATTGAGGCAGATGCACATGAATTTAATGCATCATAATATAACTAGGCTACTCCCTCATGTCCCAAGCAAGTACACATTTTATTTAAACTTAAATTCAAGTTGACAGTACAAATGGTATCAATAAATAAATAACAACTATATTGTCTAATAGATATAAGAAGATGTGGTATGAGTGCCAATGAGACAACTCTCCATCCAAGTCAAAATTTATAAAAGTAAACCATTATAGGTCACAGTACGGTCTTCAACACGGAGCCTTGGCTCACACCGAACAGTAAGTTATAAAGGGCCCCAAAAAATTACTAGTGTAAAACCATTCAAACGGGAAAACCAACGGTCTAATCTATATAAAAAACGAGAAACGAGAAACACTTATGAACCACATCAACAAACGACAACTACTGAACATCAGATTCCTGACTTAGGACAGGTGCAAACAATTGCAGCGGTAAACCTTTTAAGAACTTTCTATATATACATTTTGTACAATAACATGAAAAAACTGCAAGTATATTTTTTATTGCATATACAACAATTTCCTTGGTGATAAGCACGAGAACACTATGCAACCGAAACGGTAATGGAATCTCACTTCTCCAAGAAATTGATCACTTCTCCCTTCTCTCTCATGGAAGGTAAAAGATCTACAAAAATATCAATTGACTAAAACCAAAAATTATCTGTTAAACTAAGGGGCAACAAGCAAATAATTGTATGGTATCTTAAAAACTGCAGTAAATAAGGAAAATCTGACAGTGGCAAAAATGCTGAGGAAATCAAGATCACCTGTTCCTGACACATTAAAATTGTCAGATGATTCCATAGTGGAGTTAATGCCCTTAAGTCTTAATGTTGGGTTTTATATTGAAAGCAATAATGGATGAAGAGAAACAGTAAACAACAAAATTAAGGAGAACCTTTTTGTGGACAATTTTTTCATATATATAGTATCTATAAGGCATTTTTTTATACAAGATAATCAATTAAGGCTCCTTGGAACATCTAGATTATATCAACATTTCTCAATGTATATTGTCATTATCATTTAATCATATGTGTTTCACACAAACAGATACTTGTAGGGCAGAGAACAAAATACAGTTCACGCATTCAAATGTAGTGCAGCATGTCCAAAGGCTTTGTCGAGACATACTTTCTCTACTTTCTGAGCAGATAAAAAATGGATTCACAGAAATGTTGTATTGCAGAAAGTATTTTCTTTATTCATTAATCTAGTAACATTTTACTCATATTGTATGTTCATAAGTGACACCATGTGGCTATTTGTAGCTAAAAGATCCTGACTGTGGACCATTAGATGTTGATTTCTTCAAGTATAATGCTTCAGTGGCTAAATCTCCATCATTCATCAACCTGAGAGAAGTGTGTGGGCGTCACATGTTACAACCTGGAACTTATTGCATCATACCATCTACATTTGAACCTCACCACAAGGGAGAGTACTTGATAAGAATATTCACTGAAAAGGCTAATGTCACACAGTAAGTACTAATAGAAAAGTGCTGGTTAAAAGAGTTTTTTACAGGTTAAAGTCTTGATGAAAAATCTTTTGAATGCTCTTTTCACCAAGTAGAAGGACATAAAGATTCATTCTTGTTCTATATTTCATCTTTCTGTTGTTTGAATATGCAACACTTGTCTACACTTTTTTATACGCCCATTTACGGGACGTATTATGGTATAACGTTAACCGTCTGTCCGACATTAACTCAAAAACGCTTTACCCAATTTGCATAAAACTTTGGTGAATTGTATGTATCTATTGACAAAAGCTCCCTTTCATTTTTCATAAATTTTAGATTTTATGTTTCAGAGAAATGGGGTTTTATTCATTATAAAAAGGGGGGGGGGGGTTTCCAGTTTTCGGACAATAACTAAAAAATGCTTTCTCCAATTTGCAAGAAACTTTGGTCAATTGTTTTTATACGCCTGTCAATTTTTGACGGGACGTATTATGGTATACAAATGTCCTCCATCCGTCCGTCTGTCTGTCCGGCATAAACATGTCGCACCGTAACTTGAGAATGACTTATCCAAATTTCATGAAACTTAAAATAGTTGTTTCTTATGATGGTCAAACGATCTGTATACTTTTTGGTGAAAATAAGATTAAAACTTTTTGAGTTACGGGACTTAGTAACTAAAACAGGTGTGTGTTTTTTTATACGACCGCAAAAATTAAAAATTTTTTGGTCGTATATTGGTATGACGTTGGCGGCGTCGTCGACGTCGGCGTCGTCCAAAGACACATTGGTTTTCGCACTCTAACTTTAGTTTAAGTGAATGGATCTCCATGAAATTTTACCATAAGGTTCAATACCACGAAAGGAAGGTTGGGATTGATTTGGGGGGTTATGGTACCAACAGTTAAGGAATTAGGGGCCAAAAAGGGGCCAAAAATAAGCATTTTTGTAACTTCCAGACAATAACTTGTGTGTAAGTGTATGGATCTCTCTGACATTGTACCACAAGGTTCCATATCACAAAGGGAAGGCTGTAATTGATTTTGGGGGTAATTGCCTCAAAATTTTAGGAATTAGGGGCCAAAAAAGGGGCAAAAAACAAGCATTTTTCTAGTTTCATGACAATAACTTGTGTTTAAGTGTTTGGATATTTCTGAAATTGTACTACAAGGTTCCATATCACAAAGGGAAAGCTGGAATTGAGTTTGGGGGTAATTGCCCTAAACGTTTAGGAATTGGGGGCCAAAAAGGGGCCAAAAATAAGCATTTTTCTAGTTTCCAGACAATAACTTGTGTTCAAGTGTATGGATCTCTCTGAAATTGTACTGCAAGGTACCATACCACAAAGGGAAGGCTGGGATTGAGTTTGGGGGTAAATAATCATAATGGGGTTCAAAAAATTTGGGGGGGGGATTTTTTTTTTTTCTTTTTTTTTCTTTTTTTCCTTTTTTTTTTCTTTTAAAATTTTCCATTTTAAGTTGGTTATTTCTGATTTATATTTAAAAGCAAATAATAATGATATGGTAGGAGATACACACCAAACAGGATGTGTAAATTATTATATAATAAGTATTGTGCAATAGCAAGAAATTTTCAATTGCACAGTATTGCACAATAGCAAGAAATCTTCAATTGCACAGTATTGCGCAATAGCAAGAAATCTTCAATTGCACAGTATTGCGCAATAGCAAGAAATATCCAATAGCACAATATTGAGCAATAGCAAGAAATTGTCAATTGTACAGTATTGCGCAATAGCAAGAAATATTCAATTGCACAGTATTGTGCAAAAGAAGATACTTCGTATAAATTTCTTATTTCTTGATCAATTTCAATGGGGTTTTATTCTTGAATTCTTGGGGTTTCTTAAAATGCTGAATCTAACTGTGTATTAAGTTTTTGGATTTTGGGCCCGGTTTTTAAATTGGTCCACATTTAGGTCCAAAGGGTCCAAAATTTAACTTTGTTTGATTTCATCAAAAATTGAATTATTGGGGTTCTTTATTATGTCGAATCTTACCGTGTATTTAGATTCTTAATTTTTGGTTCCGTTTTCAAATTGGTCTACATTAAGGTCCAAAGGGTCCAAAATTAAACTAAGTTTGATTTTAACAAAAATTGAATTTTTAGGGTTCTTTGATATGCTGAATCTAAACATGTATTTAGATTTTTGATTATAAGCCCAGTTTTCAAGTTGGTCCAAATCGGGGTCCAAAATTAAACTTTGTTTGATTTCAACAAAAATTGAATATATGGGGTTCTTTGATATGCTGAATCTAACCATGTATTTAGATTTTTGAGTTTTGGGCCCCTATATCAACTTTGTCCACATTGAGGTCAAAAGGGTCCAAAATTAAACTTTGTTTGATTTCATCAAAAATTGAATTCTTGGGGTTCTTTGATATGCTGAATATAACCATGTATTTAGATTTTGGATATTGGACCATAATAGGTGAATGTCCAATTTAAAATTTTTAAGTTCTTAGACCACATTCATTCTTTGTCAGAAACCTTTTCTGTGTCAAATATTTAATCACAATCCAAATTCAGAGCTGTATCAAGCTTGAATGTTGTGTCCATACTTGTCCCAACTGTTCAGGGTTCGACCTCTGCGGTCGTATCAAGCTGCGCCCTGCGGAGCATTTTATTAATTCTATTATAAAATAGATTAAGTTAGCACTATGGTAAATTTAAATGGGTAATTATGGTTGCCAACTCCATTGGAAATTTGAATTGAGATTATGACCATATCTTGAGGGAAAGAATTTTTTGGGGGAAAAAAGGGGGGGGGGATAAAAAGAAATTGTGGGGGGTCAATTTTTTCTCATTTCAGATTTCAGAAATTAAAAAGAATTATTCTTCAAATATTATTTTTTTTCAAATTTCAAATATTGAAAAATTTCAAGAAGTCATCTTTAATTGCACAGTATGGCGCATTAGATTTGTAAAATCTTTGATCACATTTATTTATTTGTTATGCCGAATCTAACAGTGTATTTAGAATTTTAATTTTGGGTCCAGTTTTCAAATTGGTCTACATTAAGGTCCAAAGGGTCCAAAATTAAACTTTGTTTGATTTTAGCAAAAATTGAATATATGAGGTTCTTTGATATGCTGAATCTAAACATGTATTTAGATTTTTTGATTTTTGGCCCAGTTTTCAAGTTGGTCCAAATTAGGGTCCAAAATTAAACTTTGTTTGATTTCAACAAAAATTGAATATATGGGGTTCTTTGATATTCTGAATCTAACCATGTATTTATATTTTTTATTTGTGGACCCCGTTATCAAATTGGTTCATATTGAGGTCAAAAGGGTCCAAAATTAAACTTTGTTTGATTTCATCTAAAATTAAATTATTAGGGTTCTTTGATATTCCAAATCTAACCGTGTATTTAGATTTTTAATTTTAGGTCCTGTTTTTTAAATTGGTCTACATTAAGGTCCAAAGGGTCCAAAATTAAACTTAGATGATTTTAACAAAAATTGAATTCTTGGGGTTCTTTGATATGCTGAATCTAAACATGTGTTTAGATTTTTGATTATGGGCCCAGTTTTCAAGTTGGTCCAAGATAGGGTCCAGTATTTAACTTTGTTTGATTTCAACAAAAATTGAATATATGAGGTTCTTTGATATGCTGAATCTAACCATGTATTTAGATTTTTTATTTGTAGGCCCCGCTATCAAATTGGTTCATATTGAGGTCAAAAGGGTCCGAAATTAAACTTTGTTTGATTTCATCAAAAATTGAATTATTGGGGTTCTTTGATATGCCAAATCTAACCGTGTTTTTAGATTTTTAGTTTGGGTCCCGTTTTTTAAAATGGTCTTCATTGAGGTCCAAAGGGTCCAAAATTAAACTTAGTTTGATTTTAACAAAAACTGAATTCTTGGGGTTCTTTGATATGCTGAATTTAAACATGTGTTTAGATTTTTGATTATGGGCCCAGTTTTCAAGTTTGTCCAAGTTGGGGTCCAAAATTAAACTTTTTTTGATTTCAACAAAAATTGAATATATGGGGTTCTTTGATATTCTGAATCTAACCATGTATTTTGATTTTGGACATTGGACCATAATAGGTAAATTAAAAAAATTCAAGTTCTTAGACCCCATTTTCTGTGTCAGAAACCTATGCTGTGTCAAATATTTAATAACAATCCAAATTTAGAGCTGTATCAAGCTTGAATGTTGTGTCCATACTTGCCCCAACTGTTCAGGGTTCGACCTCTGCGGTCGTATCAAGCTGCGCCCCAGCGAAGCATTTTATTTCACATGTCGCGCCGTATCTCAAAAACAATTTATGATTATTGCTTAAAACTCAACACACTTCTTAGTTATATTAATCTTAAGATCTGTATACTTTTTGGTGATGATTCAAAATTTTATTTTAGAGATATTGAGTATTTTGTTAAAAAAGGGGGAGGGGTTTTTCACATGTCGCGCCGTATCTCAAAATCGGTTTATGATTATTGCTTAAAACTTTACACACTTCTTAGATATTTTAACCTTAAGATCTGTATACATTTTGGTGATGATTCAAAATTTTATTTTTGAGTTACTGAGTATTTTGTAAAAAAAGGGGGAGGGGTTTTTCACATGTCGTGCCATATCTCAAAAACGATTTATGATTATTGCTTAAAATTTTACACACTTTTTAGTTATATTAATCTAAAGATCTGTATACTTTTTGGTTTTGATTCAGAATTTTATTTTTGAGATATTGAGTTTTTTGTAAAATAAAAAGGGGGGTTTTCACATGTCGTGCCGTATCTCAAAAACGATCTATGATTATTGCTTAAAATTTTACACACTTCTTAGTTATATTAATCTAAAGATCTGTATACTTTTTGATTTTGATTCAAAATTTTATTTTAGAGAGATTGAGTTTTTTTGTAAAATAAAAAGGGGGTTTTCGCATGTCACGCCGTATGTCAGAAACTATTTATGCTTATTGCAAAAAAGTTCACACACAAGACAACGGGCGTATCATGCGCTCATGGCGCAGCTGTTTATTAT